TCGGAAGAGGAGGAGGAGAGAAGAATAAGAAGAAGAAGATGAGGGGGAGGACGACGACGAGAGATGATGAAGAAGAAGAAGAAGAAGATGAGAGGGGGAGGAGGAGGAGGAGTGAAGAAGTCGTAGAAGAAGAAAAGCAGAAGAAGTATAAGAAGAAGAAGAAGAAGAAGAAGAAGAGAGGGGGAGGAGGAGGACGAGAGAAGAAGAAGCAGAAGAATGAGTGGAGGAGGAGGAGGAGAGAAGAAGAAGAACAAGAAGAACAAGAAGACCGGCACTCCACGTCGACGGGCGGCAGGGGATGTCGGCAGGCAGGAGCACCACGATCGACGACGCTGGCGATGGGCGACGGGCGACACGACGACGACAGGCGAGTGAAGCTCCCAGGCGATGGCGACGAGGGCAGCTACTTCGACGAGGGGCAGCAGCACGAACGCAGGCGGCTGGAGCAGCTATCGAGGCCCCGTTTGGACAGCCAATGCAGGCCGCCCCAGCCAGTCGCTAGTTCAAACGGGGCCTCCGTTTCCCTCCAAAAACGAACGGCCCTCTGGCCGTCCCAAATTAAAAAAAAAAAAACAGGCCTCACAGGCCCGACGCGCCGTTTTCTCGGCGTGGTCGGACCCGGTAGGCCTTGGGGAGGCCAAAACCACCCGATGTGGGGTCGGAACCCCCCTGCCAACAAGGTGTGCTGGAGGTGCCCGGCCCCCAACTGGGCCGCCCGCCCGGCCAGGCCGCCCGGGACCTCCCCCGGGCGGGCGCCGGTCGGCCGGGCGGCCCGGAACCGTACTCAGTATTAAAGTTAATTAAACTGATAAACAGAAAGTTCTTAGGAAAGTTAGGATAAAGAGTTTGATTGTCAGCAACTAAAATTGAGTCAATCGGTATCGATTTAGTAAGAGATTTCTGAAGTTCTTTTTGTTAACATTAATTAAAAAGAAATCATGGACACCTAAAAGCAAATTACTCAACGAGGACTTTCAGAAAAGTTGAATATTCGACTAAGAACTACTAAGGAGTCCAACCTGAGAAAAGAGCTGCCGAAAAACTTTTCACAACCACTTACGATACTTATTTTGATTGATCCACTGCAGACAAACTCGGCAAGCAAGGGAAGAAGGTGTTCACGGATGGCCCGCGTGAGGTATGTTTTCTTTTTTGCAATTTTTTTGGGTTTATAGCTTGCTGGTTGGATGTTGGATGGCTCACCTTGACAAGTTATAAGTGTTCAAGACTTGTACTTTGATCTCGTTTTCCACACCCGCTTTACTGAAACGGTATTCACCAATTCGTGGTAGCTGAGGTAGATCYCAGGGCTYGATYCCTAGTTCCCCAACTTACCTGTGTACAATACCTGCGTCAACTCGAAGAGTTGAACCTGCGACCTGTAGAACCGCCAGTGGTAGGTAGGTCTGTCGTAGGTCTATAGGTAGCCAGGATTCGATCCAT